ATCGGCATTGATTTGGGAACAACCTTCTCCTGCGTTGTTGATTTTCCCCACAAAAAGGTGGAAATCATTGCTAACGAATAGAAACACCAAACAACACCATGGCATGTGGCCTTCACGGATAAGGAACGTCTCATCAGTGATGTCTTAACAGTCCAGGCAACCATGAACCCCACCAATACGGCGTTCATGCAAAGCTTCTGATCAGGCGTCGTTTCAACGATGAGGCAGTAAAGATGTACATGAAGTATTGACCATTCAAAGTGATCAATTCGGAATGCAAACTGTAAATCGAAACAGAGCACTGCACTAAGACGAAACATCAATGCCAAGGAGATCTCCTCTGTGCTACTGGTAAAGAAAACAACGCAGGTGTATAAGGGCGAGAAGTTGACAGATGCGGTGATCACAGTGTCAGTGGACTTCCATGATAGCCAAAGGCAGGCCACAATAGATGCAGGCGAAAAAGCGCGTTTGAAGGTGTTGGGCATTATCAACGAGCCAACGGCAGCTGCTATTGCCTACAGTTAGGACAAGAGGGTAGACAGGCGGCGCAATGTGCTCATCTTTGATTTGGATTGTTGCATCTTCAACGTGTCCCTCTTGTCCACCGCTGGTGACGCGCACTTGGGTGGGTAGTGAGGATTGGATTCCTGACTGGAAGGTAACTTTTCAAGGAAGTTCAAGCAAGAGCACGGAAGAGAGGATTTGACAACCACCACCAACAAGGCCATCATCCATCTGTGAGAAATGCATCGGATGGTGAAGACAACTTCGAATTCGACTGAACGCACGGACATGGACATGGACTCGCTGTTTGAAGGCATCGGTTTCTGCATGTCAATCAAGGGGACCCGTTTTGAGCGGTTATGCACAAACCTCCTCAGTAGGACACCGAATCCAGTAAATAAAACGTTAAGTGAGGCGAAGATGGACAAGGCTGATATCCAATTCAGAGTAGATTAGGTTTATGATGTTATTGTTATTGTTGTTACTTTTGTTTAGAGACCTGCGGATTTTCAATCGTCGATGCAATAGTATTCAAAACCCTTCTGAGTGTGCACAATAACAATGATATTTCATCGGCAGTAGTTCGCCCATCCTAGACATAAAGCCTTTTTGACTTGTAAATTATGATCCCAACAGGATATCATTGCGATTCTGGGTAATAATTGCACTAAAACAAAACGAATTGCTTTTGGACGGCAAATCGGGTCAACTGCGTTTGTGGTCAATTGTCAGATTTAAACAGCAACTAAAAAGAAAGCCTAATAGGCGGTGGATCGCAAAAAATGACACTGCGCCATAAAGCTATGCACAAAACTCGTCATAATAACACTACGCAGTGTTAGGGGCCCAGAGCGCAAACTGGTTGAAAGCAGTGGCAATAAGCCCCGAGGATGACTGAAGCCGAAAACCAGATTGTATTCTACACGATTAATAATCTTTGTTAGTAATATCAAAGAAGAAAATCAAACATTATGGCATTTATCGAGGAATGATGACCGAAAGTCACCTTTGCATCATAATCCACCTTCCATTTTGGCAGATTTTTGGCAATGCAGGATATCTAAATCGAGCAGTTTATCAACCACCAAGCTTTGTCCAGTAATAGCGAAAATGGGCAGTAGGATAAAATCAAACAAGTCGATCTGATTCGGAACACCAGCAAAACAGCATCATTACAGACTAATAAGTAAATGTAAGCGCAAACACTACTGAATTTTTTTTCCGCCATAATGTCAGCACTAACAATAAACAAAAAAACCAAATTAACTGTGAGTGGACCGTTACCTTTGGATCCCTTGCTACTTTCATCGAACATGGTGCCACATGCACATTGCACATCCGACATTTGCGAGATTCAAAGTGGCTTCTCCCGACACTGCTACTGTCTGCTCCAGGTCGTGGTGGACCTGGACGCCCATTGCCTGTTCGTAGAGGAGTGGCTTCCGATGACTCCAAAAGGGAGCATCAGTTGGTTATTAATGACCTCCCACCTGTACCAAGAGTAAACAACATTAGCAGCTTCTTAGGACGACTTGGGACAATTACTACAGTGAGGGTAGTTGAAAGGTTGCACGGAGCCTTCAAGGCCTTCTCTACTGCAAAGGCACAACCAATGGCAGTGGCAGCAGCTCCTTTCCCCTTAAAGAGTTATCCTTCGCGTCCTTTTGCCTGATAAGCATGGACAGAGGTACAGAAGTGCTTAAACATGCACTTTTTCCTCTCGAATGTCCCACTGCTCATAATACCACGGCGCTGTAATGCACCCCTCATTCGAGTCTTACTGGACTTTTCTGTGGTGTCTAGTTTCGGATTTGTAGAATGTGGTAAAAGTTAAGGACTTGCCAATGCTGCGATACCGGCATTAGCTCCATTTAATGGAAATTGGGCCAAATCACTATTTTTATCAGATCCCAACGTCTGCGGATTTTAAGCAAGTTAATTTAGCGACTTCTTTTGGTCCTTCCGCTTCATACGACTTACTTCATCCGCCGAAAGAAAAGGAATACACATTTGTCTGAATTTAACCATTTAACCGATTTGGAAGCCTGTTGTGAAGAGTATTATACCACTCTTGGATGTTTCGCCACTTTCATCGAACATGCTCATTTTTATGCATCAGATGATATCAGCCTACCTACCTAAATTACCACAAGTTCTACTCCACGGCAACCGGAAATAGCCCGACTACAATTGAGATGTAATTATCGTTATTTAGAACCCCTAATCTACTAGCAGGTAAAATTATTTGAAAAAGTAGTTACCTCCGATATACCTCGTAAACGGATGATTTTTTGTTTCAACAACACCCAAGCTGTGTTTGACAGGAGAAGAAGCCTCAAGGCATTAAGGTCAGTATAAAGCCCCAAATGCACCTTGCGGCAGATGAAAGCAAGCCACAAATACTGCAAAATGAAACACCATCGTCGTAAGCACAGAGTGCAAAGCATAGTGATAGAACAGGCAAATTTCTCCCTGTAAAAATTCTATCGACGAAACAACTATTCATATGAATAATAGTAATAAATGGTTGTCTCTATGTTCAGACACAAATGCTCCCACAACACCGCAAATATACTTAACTTCCAAAAACAAATTATCCTTTAAAATTGCAAAAGCGATACAATCAGACACACGTAACAACTTATGAGATCGTAAGGCAGCAGAAAATGCGGTTGATTACATATTTTCAATGCTCAAAAACAAAATCAACATAGCAAATTAATGGAATCAGGTATTTAACATGTCACAGCATTACGCAAATGGAGGTATGCACTTCAAACTCTATTGCCCGCGTAATCAAACACAATAATAACAAGTCCACTCCCAAACATTCGTCTGAGAAATTCACTTGAGCAAAACGCTCTCTATGATAATAAACTGGTGAGAACAAAATAAATTGGAGCATATTATAAACTAAACATGCAGTAACAACCATTAACGAAGGACACACCCACCTACGCCTGCCACGGCCCTGCCAGTATTAACAGACAAAGCACATACAAACATGCGTGCAAAGCCCTTGACCATGAATTATAACAAAATATTTACATATGCCATGCAACAAACAAACACCGTTTAAGAAGTCTCTCTGCAGTAGTTGTTGACCAATTAAATACAAAACATTGACATGCCTGTAATTTACGCGTAACTGGGGATGACTGAACCATGAAATGCTCAGAGGTCAACATTCGTGATTCAACAAATTAGGGAATCAATTATACTGCCTAAGCTGGCACTTGTACTTTAAAATTTTAGAAGATGAAGGCAAAACATTTTAGTAAATGAATGCATTTTTCCAATGTCTTGCCCTTCTGTCTCTTCCTGTATACCATGCAACAGGAAAGAATGCTTGGAAGAAACTAAAATTTAGTGTACGATGTGAAAATTAGGAAATATCTAGGCTTCAGTAAGAGTATCTCAAGTTGCATACGTTTTAGACGTAATCGTGCTATTTAATTTACGAAGCTGGTTCAATCTGTCCGCACGTCATATGAAGGAATGCATATGAAAATCAAATAGATTTGGATTAAGTGTAGATACTTTGATTATCTAACAAACGTAACAATCAATTTTCACTCTGTTACCGTGGAAAGTAAACAGTGTTTCTGTTGTACCTTTCGCCTACTTCGAATTTTCGATTTAGTTCAAACTACTCTTCAAACAGAATTTATGACATTGAAGTGATTCTTCCTCTGCTACGAGTCCCAGCACCACCATAGCAATTGGGCCTAGTCCAACTCCCTGATTGTTGAAACACCCGCCATTGGCCACCATTCTCACCTACATC